TTGAGTTTAGGATCTATGGTTTAGCATGGTACATTGCCCACTGAAGCGTGCAAGAAACCATGGGACACTAGCGGTGACAACCCATGTACATGTTTTGGTTTCAGGACTTGGGGGTTACTTGCTTTTTCTCAGGAGAAACCCGAAAACCAGGCCCCGCGTTGGGCCCCCGAACAAGGTCGCTGAACCAAAAGGAGCCAACGCCATGCTGCCCGTCGCCGACTCCATAGCGTTGCGATTGGTTGAGGAGACAGCTATGAGTTTGGTAGGAGTACATAGGGTCTTCCAAGGATAGATGGTAATGCGCAGAGTGTGTGTGCGGCTTCCATGGGGAATGGATAATGCCTGACTGGAAAGGCAAGCTTGACCTAAACAAGTGGATGTAACAGTGCAGGCGCTGCCGCATGTGCTTCTTTATTCTTCATCTCACTACTAAGCTTGTGGCAAAGCACTCCTTTTACTGCGCGACAACAAGCATAGCGGCTCATCAGTGGCTCACTTGGGCCGACTGAACATGTTGGGCAGTTTCAGGGTTGACGGGAGCGTTGTTTAGCATGATGTTGTGCTGAACCCTGTGCATGTCATGAGAAGCAATGCCAGCAAATTGCGGCAAGGTAGGTCGCAGCAAGACACAGTGGTTGTTTCAGGCTGAAATTCTGTCTATGCACATGCATTGTACTGATGCTTGGACATGGGGTGCCTAACTCCCCATGCGGGGCGTCTATGCAGATGAGCACATGCCTCCCTCGCTTGCAGAATGCAGTGTTTTAGCTCTACAGAGGGTGTCAGGTCAGCCAGGAAGTTCTGTACTGCGAGTGCATACAGCCTCTCCTTCTTCTAGCGCTGTGAACGTCTGGCAACACACACCCAGATTGCGCTGACCAAGCTCAGGTCATGATCCAGCCTGACACAAAACCCGTGTTCGATGACAGCCTAAATGAAAGCCACCATGCCAAACATCCCAGCTCCCCCTTTATCCCACCTTTCAAGCTCTCAAACCCTATAACCCTTAAACACCAAGCCCCTAACTCCAAACTTTGAAAGCTCGACAGCCACATGGTGGTGGCCCGGTGCCGGCGCACGTGGGGGAAGCCTTGTCCGACTTGTCGGTCGCCAAGCCCAGAAGCTGCCAGTAAACCTGAAGCAATACCCCTAGCTAAGGGGGTTTAGGGTTTAGGGTTTTACGGGTTTAGGGTTTGGGGGTTTGGGAGCTCAGGGTATAGGGGTTGGGGGTTTAGGGTTTAGGGGATTTGAGGTTTATAGGCTTTGGGGATTTAGGGTCTGGGGATTTGGGGTTTATAGGCTCTGGGGTTTAGGGCTCGGGGTTTGTCATATCACCCCAATGATGGAAAATCAAGTGGAAAACACAGTAGGAACTAGGGTTTTAGGGATTAGGGTTTAGGGTTTGAAGCCCTCAAGCTAACATGGGGCCAGATGAGAGACCTATGCTTATGTTCGGGCAATACTGAATGATGATAAGCAGGGAGCGCAGCAATGTATAATCGCCATTTCATAGCCAAAGCATGGTAATACAAATCACTAGTATTGCATGGTTCTGAGCAATAGCGGTCGGAGTAATAGTCATGCCATGTGAATTAGAATTCGAATAATAACAGCAACATATCCAGCAGCAAATATACAACATCCGAAAATGTGAAAGAACTCGTATTCATCCCTAGAGTTACCTTCTAAACGTCAGAAGCCTCAGCCACAGAACACGTTCTTCGAGATATCTTCATACAAAGACCAAACACGGCATGAACACAAGGATCCTCCCAGGAGGATTTCCACATTACAATTCTAGTTTTCTTCTCCAAGGACCTCCCAACCCTGATTGAGTTGTGATCCTGACGCTCGAGTCTATGGGCATTTCCGAGAGCAAGCCGGGACGCCGGCCCTTCTTCCCCAAATTAGGATGAATCCCCAATCGGGAACATGGGAATCAACGACACAGCGCTTCTTATAAGAATCCCCCTCTGCCCTGTGCTTCTCCTGCAAGATTCAGCATATTCTGGCTCCGGGATGCGAGCCATGGAGACCAATGCGGTGTCGTTCAGGGCCAGGGCCTCTCCAGCTTGTCACCAGTTGGGCAGAGCTAGACAAAACTGCACGGAGGGGGCATTTGATCACAGTCATGCTGCGCGAAACGAAGTAAGATCATATGTACTCGAATCGAGCTGTAAAGATACTTTTATTTGTTAGACTGATGAGAGGATGAACCTCAATGATCAATGTGGAGGGGTACCCAGGTCCTGCCCACCGAAACTCGCATCATGACAAGAGCTACCTAAACCCCCAAAGTAGGTAGAATAATGGCCCAAAACCCCTAAATATAGCCCAAAAGGCCATTATTCTACATACTTTGGGGGTTTAGGTACATCCTCTTGAAGAGGGGCCCATCTCAGGTTTCTGGCTTGAAGGGAGATTTCGTGACAGGGCTGGGTGTTGCTCCAGACAGTTGCCAAGTTCTTGAAATGCCCTAAAACCTAACCCCCACCCTGAACCCTATAGATCCTAAGCCCCAGTAGCTCAAATGAAGAACAATCACTGGGTTGGCCCCTAAAACCCTTTCAAAAATATTAGTATATAGGGTCCCTTACTAAAGCCATTAGGGAAAATATTAAATATCCCAGGGGCCTACCCAGATCAGGACAGGCAGCCTTTTCCAAAATGAAGCAGCTCAGCGGACAGTCCTTTGGTGTCATGGAGGAAATCTTGCACTTGGAATCCCCAATATCGTACTGGTTCTCAGTGGACAATAAGGGAATATGATGGAATGTGTATAGGTGTAGTGTGTAAGGTCTAGGGTAGGGAATCAACATGTAATGTAAGTATATATTTCCGTTTCGTTATTAAGAGCCAGTAACAATATGCTGCAATTCAAAGGCTATAGGGTATATCGGGTGGTGCAGATTTCCTCCATCCACAGCTGCACCGCGAGTTAGGATCTTGCAATTTGCGCATTTCTCAGGATGAAACCATGGGTCCCTAGTATGGACCCTTTGTGTGGGATCCTTGTATACCTGCTATATACCTTACATGTACCCTTGAGGGCCCTTAGAATAGCCCTGAAGGGCCTAAGGGCACATATTGGGGGCCCATACTAGAGTATTGATTGCTTTTAAAGCAGGTCGGCCCTAGGAGATCCTACTAGGAGGGTCATGGGGACTTAGTAAGTAGGTTAAGAATGCAAAAGAAAATGGCAACGACTTTATGCCAAACAAATGGCGAGCCAGCTTGACATTGTTCTTTCTCTTCTCCATTCTCTTGATACTACCTTCTCATTCACAAAGCTTACTATCCTTACTTTAATTTCTTACTCCACTTTCTCAGGCACCTGCAACTCAGTTGCACATAACAACTAACTGGTGGTTAGTAGGGGATGAACAGAAGGTTGCCAGGACTATGATGGTATACCATATTGTATATCATATTATATTATATTTCTCATATTGTATCATAGTAGGGTGATATTCGGACTATGATAAGGGATCCATTCCTCCAGTCCCTACAAATCTCCAGTATCAACAAAAATGGATACAGGAGAATGTAAAGTAGATCCCTAAAGCCCCTTGTTACTTTCCTGGAGTAGAAGAGCCCAGATAATCATACCTACTATAGTCCCCATTAAGTGGATAGAATATGGTTTTGGGTATGTTACAATAAGATCCCCATATACCCCATGCTATATCTACTTAAGGGGGACTATAACCCTAAACCAGATGTGTAACCATTCTGCAAGTTGTTAGATATGCCCGCGCTCCTCGAAGTCGTCCACGGTCTTCCAGCGCAGAGCCTAAGGATGTAACTAACGACTAAATTTGCCATACTATGAAATGTTTAACTCCCCTGTGGTTTTGGAGATTCCTGGGCTCTTTAGCTCCCCTTATTACATTGATATAGACTAACTTAGAAAGGATTAGAGGAAGGTTATGCGGGGCTATATCTTAACATCTACTATGAGGTCGAGATGAGAGTGGGAAGGTGTAAAACGAATGGGTCACTAAGTAGTAAATTGCATCACGTGGAACCTGCTCACGATCATTCGAGAATTCCCGGTAGTAAAACCAACAATATGCGAAGTCTAGGCTGGTAGACTACTAACAATCGTTTCATGCATCAAAGTACTAATAGACTGACTTTTGGATAATGCCTGGTCAGTACTACTCGCAAGCTTGCAAAAAGTTACGGTCTTTTCTGGGCTCCTAGACTAGAGTGGTGGGAACACTCTTTTGAGGGGAGCACGGGAAACCCAACCTCAACTATGCCCTATGCCCACGATAACTTGAAGTATCGCAGCAGCCTCTACAGAGACATCTCCAATCATCAATGCCCTGTTGAGATCTGCTTGCCAAAAACTAAACTACTTGTATACACAACGCACACCAGGACTGTACGTCGCTACATTAGTACTACTACGAACGATTTGATTTCTGTCAAATCAAGCTAGCGAGACACAAGGTGCAAAACCGCGCAACCAATTCGATCTAGAGGGAGCGGCACAGAGGCCAGCGAGCGAACACGCCAACAACAAGCTTAGTAAAAGTAGGAAGAACTGATGCTTTGCATGGCACGAGTAAGCCTCTGCATCGGTCACCATAGGCAAGAGCGTAGCACTACTAAGCATCTAAACAACGAGCTGAGAGATTTTGGAGCTTGTGCCGTCGGCTTCTCTTCATTTTGCATCTGTTAGCTGCACCGGATCGCACAATTTCATGCGGCCGGGGCTCTAGCTGCGCATATGTCGTACGAAAGGGTAATGACCATTGTCTTCTTGGGGTTGTCACAAACACCCTAAACCGTAAACCCAAAACCCTACACGCCATGTAGCCCTCTTGTGTGGCAGCTCTGTACAAGCCACAGCAGCTAACAGGACGGCGCAGCAGACACCACCTAGAAATCCCCCAATGGCTCCAGCTGTAGGGTTTAGGGTTTAGGATTAAGATCATCGAAACATCCCAGACAGTGTGGCTGTCAGTGTCTGACACGTGGGAAACAGACGCTCACCCATTGTCGTCCCATGCCAGGGTCCACTCTAGGACTATTTCCTCTGACTCGGCCAAAGGAGAGTCCTGAAGGAAACTTCCACTCAGCTCTGCATCATACACCTGGACAGCGGCGCATCAACTTTCAATAAATCCCCCTCATCCCTCCTGCTACGGAAAAAAAAACATGGAGTAGTTTCTAGAAGGAGCTGGGGGTGCTCCTTAATAGAATAAAAAGACTGCGTTGCCTGGCCCAATACTTGAAGCTGCCCGAGGGACCCTGGGGTTACTTCTGGGTTTCAGGACCTACCCATACACCAGGTAGGCGCATTGCAAAACACGAGGTCGAACATAACAACAATAGACGGATATAGGTTATAACTTTTTTTAACTGTTCTCCTGCCTAGCTTATTACAACAGGATTATGCGGGCTTATTCAGGGGATAGAGTCTAGTACCTATCTCCAACACCCTCCCACTCAGCAGGATCTGTCCTAACCAGACCTCCCGTAAATCACAGCCAAAGCTAGACTTGTAAGCCTCAAGCATTGCCAAATTGCTACAGTAGATCCTGAGCCATCCCCCCTAGTAACTGCCCTTCAAGGGCTTCTAAATCTGCAATTGCAACTCCTATTTACTACCTCTGGTGGTAACTGTCAGTGTAAGCAGGAATCTCCTGTCCCTTCCTGAACTCCAAGTTCTACCCAAGCCCTACATTCCTGAAATTCTACATCCCTGAACGGCAAAATCCGACCCCCCACTCCAAGGCCCCAAACCAGTAACTCCTTCACTCCACCAACCAAAGCCCTCCAAATCCGAAACAACATCTGCACCATAAGGCACCCACCGCCCCTCTCTTACCTGTTTGTCGCTCATCCACCCTGAAAACCTGAACCCTAATCACCAATCCCTACATCCTAAACCCTAAACATTGTTTCCTAAACCGCAAATCCTAAGCCCTAGACCCCAAACCCTGAATCTTCAACCCTAACCCTCAGCCCCTCCTGTCCCTCATCATCCTCACCCGGCGAGCTGTCTCGTGAGCCCGCAGGCTCCTCGCCCGGCTCTAGGCCGCCATCCTCTCAAGTTCTGCTTAAGGGTTTAGGGTTTAAGGGTCAAAGGGTTTAGGGTTTAAGGGTCAAAGGGTTTAGGGTTTAAGGGTCAAAGGGTTTAGGATAGGGATGAGGGAATGCTTTTAAAGGGGCATATGCGCTTAGAGGGGGGTTCAGGGTTACAGGGAAGATATAGTGTTCCCTTGAGCTTTGTAGGGGTTTAGGAATAAGGGTTTTCAAGAAACAGGGCAATGACCCCTACGATGGAGAACGACATGGAAAGGGAAATGGACAAATGAAATGCACACCAGGTTTTTGTGGGTCTCATACATAACAAGGGGGTTCTGGTAACCCGAAAGGGATTACAGGTACTATTAAAAGGGCTTCTGTAAAGCCTCCAGGGGATTATTTACGTGTGATTCTAGCGTTTAGGGTCAGGAGGTTCAAGATTTAAAGTATGAGTATGGTTCAACCTCCGACCCTATGACTAGCACATGACTCCAAATTATCTTTTTTTGGCAGCTCCTTTTCCACCCAGCAAATCCGGGCCAAGTTAGGGTTAAGGGGTAAGGGTTTAGGGGGTTAGTAAAGTCCCCTTGCAATCTCATGGAAGACATTCCATGGATTACTCTGGGCGTCCGTCGCCAGATCCCGCAGAAAAAAAAAAGAGGCACAATGGCCTGCAGGACCCTATACGATCATGGGAAATCGGGCTTCGTAATGGAAAAGAAGATGGCAACCACCACAGGGTTTTGGGTTAAGTGGATAGGGTTAGTAATGGAAAAGAAAATGGAAACTACAGAGATCATAGGGATCATTTAGGGGGTGTATAGGGAATCCAGGGAAAATATTCGGGGTAATGTAGGAAGTACGGACAAGAACATGAAAACTTCGATAATGAGGTCATCTAGAGCTTGCCAGGGGTTTAGGGTCTAAGGGTTTGCGGATATAGGGGTAGTATATTATAGGGATGATGGAAAAGAACATGGAAACTACTATCTAGGGTCTAGGGGTACTATTGGGATAATATAGGGTATCTCTATATATGTATACATAGGGGTTTTAGATGTCCTTCTCCGAAACTTGTCCCATGCAAACAACTACTGTACACAACAAGCCGTCCCGACGTGTCCCTGTCTGGGGACGTCAAATCATCCCGTACCGGCACATCTCCACGAGTCAAGCTGTCATCATGGGGAAGCCCTGTTGTATACGGTATTGTTTACTGCAATTCCACAATGTGATGCCTCAAGTCAAGTTCCTCAATAGCAACTGAATCTCTCCGGAGAGTCCTTATACTTAGTGGAGGATAAATGGTAGTTTCCCCAAAAAAAGGGGGACCCCAATGTAGACTCTAATCTACTATAATCCTTATTCTGGCACCCCCAAAAAAAGGTACCCCTAATTTTGGGAAACTCCATATGAGCCATTGTCTAAACTCCTAGTATCCCCCTTAATAACCATTATAGTAGTACCCTATATAATCCCCTATCTAAGCCCCTCTAAGGAGTTTAGACTATATCTCATATGTGTGTGTTAAAGCTGCTCAGCTCAACCACCCTCAAACGCTTCACCTACAGCAGGCAAAGCGTTTTCCTGGTGCTTACGGCGGCGTGGGGGAGGACATGTAGGGATTAGTAGGGCCGCCTATATAAGGGTTTATAAGGATGTGTGGATATAACATAGATATATGTATGTATATATATATATAGATATACATACATATGAGGATTTCAGAGGCACGATCATCAGGATTAAACGTCATAAAGGTGTGGCATGGCCTGCCTCAGACCAGTCCCATGTGATGTCCCACTCACAGACTTCATCCTCATCTTCGTTCTGGTAGTCGCCCTCCTCAGTTCTGGTTCACAAAGATTAAAATCGAACCTCTTCCGCCCTCATCCAAGCCTTTTCGTGCCCTACAACTCTTGGGCTTTCGCTCCCAAGCATGCTTCAAAGAGTTAACAGCTCTTCCAGCCCCAATTTCCTCCATACGTCACGGAGCCTTGTGACCAAATTTACTGTTTGAAGCCCCAACATTTAAGTCCCAGACCTCCTGGTCTTCAAAACTCACCGTCCCAGGTTTGGAACCTAAACCCTAATCCCTAAACGCTAAAGCCAAAACCTCTTGAAACATTAAGTCTCCCATGATACATGGGTCGTCTAGTTGATTTGGGGCTTCAACCAGTAGAGTCCAATTTGACATCTACTCCAAACTCTAAACCCTATAAACATCTGAACCCTAAACTCCAAACCTCAACCCTAAGCCCCAAGCTTTAAACCTCAAACCCCAAACTCTGATCCCTGAACCTTTAAACTCTACGCCCCAAGCATCATCACTAAATCCTATATAATCCTAAATACCCCCATAAGCCGCATATTATCCCTAGATAATCAGATGATCCCTACGTATCCCCACATCATGCCCTGTAAAGCCCCCTAAGCCCGTAAGCCGCAAAGCCAGTCGGAGGCTCCATGAAGGTCGACACATCTGTCTCGGAGAGACTGCGGCTCCGAAGCCTCATAGGTTTTTTTGGGGATTAGGGTTTATAGGGATTAGGGTTTATAGGGATTAGGGTTTACAGGCATTAGGGTTTAGTGATTAGGAATTAGGTATTAATTAGGGGTTAGGGATTAGCGTTTAGGGAATAGAGATTAGGGTTTAGGCTCCGAAGCCTCATCCGCTCCTCATAGTTGCTGGCGAAGAGCCTTGTAGCATAAGGTTTATGTAGGGTTAATAGGGGTTTTACAGGGTGTATGTAGGGCTTGCAAAAACACTTGTAGGGAGATTGTGTAGAAGTCATGGAGAACGATTTTGGCGGGATTATATAGGGGGTATAGAAGGGATATCGAAGGGGTTCTCTAAATAAGCTTTGTATAGGAATCTTACCCCAAAAATGGAGAATCAAGGCGGATCCGGGGGGGCCAAGTGTCCGAAATAGCAACGCGCCTAGTGTGTTTAAAGGCCGGGCGTGTTTGAACAGTGGCTCGGCAGCAAGATCAAGATGGTTGTCCTTTTAAACCCTCAATCCAAAACCATGCTTGCACAGAAGGTCCCCTGGTGTACTCACTGCATATGGGTGGTTGTCAAAATTATGGTCCCTTTTTGGATCCCTATTATAATACGGCACCTAATATTTAGGGTACCCAAAAAGGAACCATAATTTTGACAACCACCCATATTAGAAAACCTGTACAAGCCAAAACGCCATTCTCGGTTTAGAACTCCGGCTACAAGCGTACTATTGCCAATCAGCCCTTTCAAACCCCTGTATCAACCCAGTTTCCGTTTCATTTTCCGTTTACCTGTCCATGTGATTCTCCATGATAGATTAAGACTCAGGTCGCCTCGAAACCCTGAACCCTAAACATCCGGCTTGCTGCGTGTCAGTCACCGTACCATATAATACATTCCCTTATCCCCTGCTAAGCCCCAGTAAGTCTAGGTATCTGGTATCTCCCCTTACCTGCTACAAAATCTGAGAAGCACCTTGAGTGATGTAAAGGGGAAACAGGACCCACAATTAGGAAAAGCATAAAGGATCCCAGACAGAACCGCAGAAGGGCACCAATGATGTCTGGGCGCGCTGGAAAGATTGCATCCGGCTCAGCTGGCAGTCGGAGGCGTACGGAGAAGCGCGCATCCTGACCCAATTGTTCAGCAGCTCATTGAGCATGTAGACTTGTTTGGGCAAATCGCGCTTTTAAAGCAAGCTTCAAGAACTAAGTATACCATGTTGGAGAAGGATTCGTATACGATACCAAAAAGGAAAGAAAGGAGCCCTCTCCTAATCAGATCCAGCGTCAAGGTCGCGAAGCCTTGAGGTTAGGACATCCACGTGCTGAGACACCTTAGCTAGTGGAGGGGCCTACCTAGTTGGCTTACTGGGTGTTGGTAGGGAATAAGGGAATATATTATATGGAGATTGTATAAGATAATATTCCCTTGTTCCCTACTTAACCCCAGTATGTTAAGATAGGACTTAGGGATATCTGGTGGTCTCCATACACATGCAAGGCCCAATAAACACCCCCAAAACACTACAAGCCTCATTCTGCAGACTTGCCAAGAGGACCACCTACCTTATGGAAACTCCCATTGAAATCACGTTATAGTTATCCACTTCTTTAGTCTTCCAGGCATTCTCCCCGACCCTTTCCCTACCCGCCCCACCTCATAAGTCGGATTCTGCCCAGAAACCTGAAAAAAATGGCTTGTTTTACGGATACCCTGGGGATCCATGTCTATAAGCAGTACCTACTTTGAGTCCTGAAGTCCTTAAGCCTATGTTGAGCTTTTTAGATCCTTAGGGATAGTTTTGGAGGTTTCAAGGTTCAAAGGCATTGGGATATTCAAGCTTCTATGTTCGTCATTTTGGCGGTGCTACGCATAGATGACAAACCCGTGCTATGGAGATAGTTGTTGCTGCGTACTGTGCACACTTCTTTTCCTACAGGTATCAAACATTCGAAGGCAACCAGTAGTTCATATAATGCTTATCAACAAAGTCGTCTGGTCGCTTGGATCGTGTCGTTTCATCCGCATCGTACTTCAAAGAAAGATGGGGAGACCAGGAAGAAGACGACAGGTAGCTGCATTAGCTGGCGCATTCTATCTGGCCTCATAACGTAGCAGTCTCTTATACGCCTTCTTTATTTTTTACTAAACCTGACTATACTCGCCATTGGTCTTCCGGAAACTGTCAGCGACGAGGGACCCGATCCTCAGTTCAGCAAGTCAGTCCCACAACCTGAACTCCGAGACACCTCATCCGGGATGCGGTAGGGGAGCCAGCAGAAGATGATGAAGTCATGGGGCATAACCTGAGTGGCAGTTGAAGAACTTAAAATGAGTTACCAAAATTAGAGAACCTCATTACTTGCTGTATACACATACTATGGTAACTTAATTTAAGTTCCTTATCAATGGAGGGACTACGATGTTCGCAAGAAAGTTGTGCAACGAGAGCTTAACCCGACGCTCCCCAAGATGGAAGTCCAACAATCACGCTGCAGAGACTGCCGTAGTATGACAAGGGGTCAACTTCTGTGTGTGTTTGGGTGGGAGGCTGAGCATTCTCTCAAAGCTATCCAAGCAACATGCGCGAAACGGAGCCATGTCTGTGACTTGACAACCTATCAGAGGCTCAGGCAAACGAAGCAAAGGTTCAGGGTGTAGGGCTTAGGGCACAGGTCTTAGGGTGTGTGCAGTTTAGCAGTTATAGGTTTAGGGGTATAAAGTTTGTGATTGTCAGGTTTAGGGGAGGTCCCTGAGGGTAGGGGCACTTTCTCCACACAGCTTTCTTGCTAAAGCTGCTTCTGGGCCATTCTAAGCTTAATCCTTGGGTCGTCCTCAAAGGGCCCGCCTCATCTGCGTTTCTTGCCTTACTGGTTAATAAGGCCTGAAGGAAAGGACCCCACGATACAGCGGTCTCTGTAAAATACCATCCAATATTGGTCCCCATACAAGCCACTACTTCATTCCATAGTAACCCCCCATACTAAGTAGGTTTATGGCCCCTGTAAACCACATAATCACCCCAAATATCACCATTCTTAACCCACTTAGCAAGTCCCCATGACCCTCCAAGTAGTAGCCTTAAATCTCAGACCCTATACCCTACACCACCCAGAAGCTCTCCCTTTTCTACCCCCACGCCTTGCTAAGGATGGTTTGAGTCAGGGTATGCTGCATTGCTGGAGTGTCAGCCTCCCTCACGAGTGGCACACGCACGACCTGTACACAGGTGAGCCGCCCGTCCCACCTGACGTGTTCTCAGGGATATTACTCTGATCGTGGAGAATCAAAGAAAAAAGAACATGGGAAATTATATGGGAATTTGGGCTTAATGGGAATCCTGATGCTAGTGCAGTGTTATGGCTCATAATTCCATGCGTCTTTGTAGTTAACACACAAAAAAAAGAAAACCTGCAATTTTACTCAATGGTGATCTGACCACGTCTCGAACATGCCATCAGGCGTGCCCGGAGACATCCGGCCCCCGAAGGACCGGACTAGCTCCTGCTCCGTCCACGTCCTGAACTCTGTACTTGGAGGCCAGTAGGTAATAGGGATATAGGGATACTGGAAAAGAAAATGGAAACTACTGTTTAGGGTTTGGGGTTCAGGGTTTAGAGTATATAGTTCCCTTGAAGTAGATATACTTGGAGGTACCCTCCCGGAAACTAACATGGAACCAAAAAGGGGCGCTATAAAGACTACAGTCCCTTTAAAAATTGGCAATATAAGTTTCCATGTTAGTTTGGGGGAGTGCAAGAAGGAGGTAGTGTGCGGGAGAATTGCCCGCAAAAGATTTAGGGCGCGGAGGTATGGCAACAACGGCCACGTTTCTGATGATGATGGTGGTGGGTGTCATGGTTGCGGTAGAAGGAAGACAAGGGGGGGCGGGGGGGGGGGGCGGGGCAAAAGAACTAGCACTAGCGCTAGCGCCAGCTGCAGCTGCTGCAGCAGCACTTGTAGCAGAAGCAAACCCACTTTTCAAAACTCTCTGTGTTCACCTATAATTAGGGGGGGGGTTGTTCCTGTGGCACCGTGGATGGAGGAAATGTTGCACCACCTTACATACCCTACTATACCCCAACAATTTCAAAATTTTGGGGGATCTTAAGTGGTGCAAGATTTCTCCCATCCAAACCCTAAACCCTAAACCCTAGGACGTAGCCATCCCACTTTTCAATCCCCCACCCCCGTCCTTCGGACCTCCGCTCCCAGGGAGCAGTCCTGCATGGCTAGCTCCTCTGCCCTCACCTGGAGCAATCTTGGGGATAGGAGGGCGGTATAGGGGAATGGAAAAGAACAGGGAAACTACTAAAAGTATTTAAAAAACGGTACATAAATATGTGCTACGTGCTGTATTGAGGGTTTTGTGCTAATTAAAGAATTGTCTTTGCTCTTTTGGCTTCCAAAAATGCTCCTTTGATCTGCATGATCGAATACTTTTTCATCTTGAGAAACTCTCCGTCTTTCAGTTTGTCTTATTGATTTTGAGCAATGACTCTCCAAACAACTTGTTTCCTGAAATGTCCCAGTCACGTTGAACGGATCCGAGTTCAGGCTCTGCGTAGGGGCCTCTGCAGCATATTTTCAGGGCAAGAGCACAGGATTCAAGTCCCTAAACCCCTAAACCCCTAAACCCGTAAACCCTAATCCCCGTTGAAAACCCGGATCCCTCAAAAAGATTGTCACTTGTCTTCTTGTAGGTGGATGTTGTGAGCTTTATTGGCTTTTGGGGGCTGGTGTGGTGTGTTATGAGGATTCTGGGAACCTCCCGCGGCCTGGGCCCAAATGTTAGAACCAACTCCCACACAGAAGTCGGGATTCTATCAAATTATTGGGGTTTAGGGTTTAGCTCGTGGCTTAGTTTGAAATTGGGTTAGAAATGACTCAATTTGGAAACAGGCCTCCACATCAGCGGCTGACATATTTTAGTCTAAAACCACTGGCGCTTCAACTTAATCACCTAATCATTATGATCCCATTTACTTACGGGTACTTACTAAGAATTGACCGGGTGCAGAACGACGGGGAGTGTACCCACTCCCAGGCTGACATGGAATCCCCAAAAAGAACCCTACAAAGACCACTCTCTGTTCTACGCGGGCAGTGACACATTCCACGCCAGCTTGGTTGAGGGTAGCCATAAACCACAAGCCCTAAACGATAAACCGACCCTACGTTTTCGCCCTAGCCTGGTAGGAGACGCTCTGGCAAAGCTCCGTCATCGTGGCCTGTTAGATAATGTGCTGTCCAAACCCTGAGTCTAAACTTGAAAGCCTAAGACCCAAATCTATACATCAAAGCCAAAAAATAAAAGCAACTTAGCCCTAGATGTACTAACTCTACTTTCCAAGCCCTAACCCTGTCCCAACGTAGGTAGCATGAATGGTTATGGGGCCTTATGTATTGCCCTATGGGTAGCGTGGCCTAATGTATTGCCCTATGGGTAGCCTGTCGGATCACACCACCGCCCTGACGGGCTGGTGCCGCGCTTACCAAAGCCTCCGCAATCACCTTGGGAGGTTAGGGTACTGCTCCCACCCCGTTTAGGGTTTATGGTTTAGAGTTAGGGGTTTAGGATTCATGGTTAGACTTCAGGGTCAGCATTCATGGCTATACATAGCTATATTCTAAGAGTTATCAAACTGTTGCTGAGTGGGGGCAGTATCCAGTGGGAAGGCTTTATCAACGCAGTGCTCCCCTCCTCCTACCCTCATGATGATGATGATGATGATCATGGCGACGATGATGACGACGACAACGATGATGATGATGATGATGGTAATGATGATGATGATGATGATGATGTCAATAGTGGCTTGCCCATGTAGCACTTAAATCTTTCTGTATATTTCAGGGAATATCTTTTGGGGAGTGTGTTTGTTTTTGTATCAGGAGAGTGGAGTACTTGGATGCACATGGCTGGTTTTACGTCAGAAGTTACAAAACGGCCATCAGGGCTTCATATAGATCTAGAGAGCTTAGTGGGTCTGAGAATCACACCTACGCATACGTTTCCTCTGAAAATGGCTGTACTTGTGATGCCGCTGCTCATACTTCCGACAACTCAAACCCTAAACCCTAAACCCAATGAACCCTGAACCCTAAACCCTGTGAACTATGAACCCTAAACCCTATGAACCCTAAACCCCAGACCCGAAACCGGTTCTAGAGATGCACTTGGTTTCAGGCCCCTCTGACAGCATCTAAGGTTCAGGATCTAAAGCTTCAGGGTTAGGACGACTTCCCAGAATTCCGAGACGGCATGCCGAGCCCAATCTAAAGCCAGAAACTACAAACAGAGTTTAGGGTTTAGGGTTATACTATTTAAAAACTTGTCTCGAAGCCTGAGACAAACAAGGGGGGGGGCCATCTTGTTGCCGGAACTTGAGCATTTTCTCTTGGTAACACATTCCGGCAGCGCGCACAACGTTTACTAGCACGATCCCATGTACTCTACGCTGCCTATCTTTGGCTGGCATTTTGTGATGCTCTGGCTGTTCTTTCGCTATCATGACCATGGACCACGAATCTTGCTCCTTTACAACAATGGAAGCCCTTAAGCCCTATTTTACCTTGGACCTCATCAAACTTTAGCCCTAAAGCCTGATCTGATCTACTTGCTGGTGGTAAGCAGAGAATTAGGAAACATAATCCCTATATAATCCCAATGTTACAAACTCCTGTATTCCCTACCAAGCCCCAGTAAGTCTACAGTTTCGCGCGCCCCTGCCTTGACCTTCACCTGAGGCTTGATTGGCAGCAATTGCGCCAGTCATGCTTACAGCAGCGCTGGCGGGCGCGCTGTCTACGAGGCCGGTCATGCTGGGCATCATGATGCGGAGAACCTCAAACGGCAAAAAGGAAGGTTGGTGAGGCTAAACCCTCAATCAAAAAATGCTAAACCCTAAACCCTGAACCCTAAACCCTAAATCCTGAATCCCAAATCCTAAACCCTAAACCCGAAATCCTGATTCCAAAGCCCTACATCCTCAACTCTACACCCTCATTGCTGAATCCTAAACCCTAAGTTCCCAAAACTGGGGAAGGTCCCCTCCGAACTTCGTTCTTGGCTTTGGGTTCATTTGCTTGGGGGGTTTACTATCGCAGGCAAGCGGGTTGAAGGTTTTAAGGTTGAAGGGTGGGATCCCAAATCTGATGGAAACTGGATCCTCTGCAAAAACAAGATCCTTCTTCGCACATTAATGCCAAATTTAAACGGAGTTTGTTTATAGGGGTTCCCCATCTACGGGAAACTAAAAAATGAAAATAGTGGCAATTAAACGGAATGGTGATAACACAGCATAGAAAGAACAACAACAAACACAAGGCTCTCACGATGCAGAGGAACGGTCTGCGCGTGATGTCCTGGTCGGTCAAGGCATGTGGGCTCTGGAGCCAAAGCTCTGTCAGAACGCATCGGGCATGTAACAACCCTCATGTCACTACTCCTATCGACGCTTCTCTGCTTGCTCTCATCAAGACGGAAAGTTTGGTGATGGCTATGCATTCGATGGATGACCGCAGGCCTGCTCTTGTAATCATCAACAGTGGCTGAATTTAGCTTGCATTTTCTTTTCCATTAGTCCCATATAACCCCTAACCTTTATGTAACCACTATATATCCCCCATATGACACCTCACATCTCTACTCCGGGTCTCTACATGGCAGCCAAGCTTGATCTCGCCGCTGCCTTGTACGGACTAAACATATCTGGGTACACCTCAGGAAGCAGAATCAGCCTACCATGTGCTACAACATGAGCTCCAAACTCTGAACAACAAAACCTATAGTAATAGTTTCCATTCTCTTTTCCATTATTGCTATTGTTATTGCTTTTGTTAATACTACTATTATCTTCGTATCGCAACATCATCCCCCACAGGCCCCATGCTGAAAGCCTAGGCTTGCAACAGCGCTCTGGATTCCGGCCGAGTATTTTGGTAGAAGCTGTAAGGTTTCGTACTGTGGCAGTGTGCTGTTCAATGTAACGTAGGTCATTCCTCAGCAAGCTGAACGCACCAGACTCCAATGATCAGCGCCAGCAACGACGATGCACCCTATATGCCCTGACCTGTCATCATCGGGCACTTCACGTCACTGGCTTCATCTCAAATGTTGTATGCGCTCAATGCATGGCCTTGCTGGGGAAACTGGTGGTGAGGATCCCGCTCTTTTGGGGGTGCGACTCTCCAATAACGACCATCTAAAGTACCCGTTTCTACTAGGGAGGTCTTCCGATCTCCGTGCGTGACCACTAATTTGAGCACAGAACCAACCGACAGCCCCTATACAAACGCCAAATCCACAGACCCCGAACGCCTGCATAAGAGCACAAGCCAAACAGTCCTCAAGCTGCACTAAACCCTAATTCCTCACTTACTGGTTCTAAGTAGGAGATAAGGGAATATTGGCGTTTCTTTTTTAAACGCTCTTTCGACCGTCCAGGACTTTCGGGGTTTAGGGAATAAGGTTTAGGGGTTAGGATTAGGGTCCCTGGATAATAGATTCCGTTATTCCCTACTAAGAACCAGGAACCCTAAACCCTAAACCCTTGATCCAGGGGTCCCCGCCAGCAGCAGCTGGGGTAGGATCAGGGGAAGGAGCTGAATCAGCTTGGATGGACCAGCCTTGCAGTGAGCAAAGAACCGCCTCAAAGATGTAGGGTTTAGGGTTTAGGGCCAGGGCTTAGGGAATTTTAGGGTTTAGGGTTAAGGGTTTAAGGATTTGGGGTTTAGGGTTCAGGGTTTGGGGTTTAGGGTTTAGAGTGAAGGGCCAGGGTTAAGGGTTGAAGGGTTAGGGTACAGGGTTTAGGGATTTGGGCTTAGGGTCCAGGGTTAAGGGATTTAGAGTGAAGGATTTACCCGAATCAAGATGGGAGTTACCCAAAACAATCCCTATAAACTTCCAAGAGGGACAACTATGGATGTGCTATGGATCTCTTATGGCTTGCATTATCTCTCCAGAACATAAATGACATGCACTATGCCTGTTTAAAGTACTCACCACCAGTAAGCAATAGGATCTTCGCAATATACACAGCAATCATGAACCTCTGATACATTGGCAACATCTGTCAACCTCTGCGCCGACAACAGGCTACGAAGAGCCTACAGGGCTCCTCAAGACCCTACAATCACCCTAAACCCGTAAGTCCCTAAACCCTAAACCCTGCATCGCTAGATCCCTAAATCCCTAAACCCTATAAGCCCTAAATCCCTAAGCCCTGAACCCTAAGCCCCAAAAGAATAGGGCCCTAAAACCAAACAGAAAATCACAGCCACTGAGCTGCCACAGAGGAAAAAAGGAAAGGAACAACCTGGAGATAGAGGGGGCATGTAGGATTGCTTTGGGGAAGCTCCCACATCACCCGATTTAAGTTGCGAAAGCCCCTACAAGACCACCTCGATATGTTCCGCCAATGGTGTCTTGTCTGCATCATAGCCATTATTAAAGCAAAAAGCAGATATCCCCTTCGAAAGCCCAACCAAGCTACGTACCCATACCTTGATATTCCACTGACATGACCTTGAGACCACGACCCTGGCCCAAAACGACCCTAAACCCTATAAACTGTTAACCTTATGAGCCATAAACCCTAAACCCTAATTCGTAGTTTCCATTTCGTTCTCCATTATCCCAATATAACCCCAATATAACCCTAATATTGCCCCAATATTACCCCAATATACCCTCCCTAAGCCCTAAACCCTTAACCCCAAAGCTTAAACCTCAGCGCCTCAGATAGAGGCTGGATAGCCACGCGCAAGACTGCGCATCGGACTCGCCTCAACCGGAGGCTTTTTCAGGGACACCCGGCTAAACAAAGGATACTCGCAGTGGATTTAGGGGTTCATAGGGTCTAGGGCTTAGGGGTCTGGAGCCCCATTTGCTGTTGAACCTACCTGGTGGGAATTTGCCACCAGGGGGGGAGGAACAGAAACAGCCCTCGAACATGCCATACAGGGTAAGGGAAAAAGCTCGGACACGAGGCCCTGAGGCTTGCCGAGATCAAACCTGTAATGCAAGGGCACGAATATTTATCAATGATGGATAACGAAAAGGAAAACATGAAATTAAATAGAAAAGGGGTGTATATAGGGCTATGTAAAGGGACTACGTGATGTAGGGGCCTAACTAAATACTCCCCAATCTGATTTGAGGCACCCTATAAGATGGTTATCCAAGGAACCTAGCACCCAAATTTTGGAAGTCATCACCTAA